TGTATTCAAAAATGGTCTTCCTAATAAAATTGGGGCGGAGTTTGAGGACTTATCATCCATGTTCAACACATAAAAATCAGCAGGAAACACAAGATCATTAACTTTCACAAGAACATCCTCAACAACACCGTCGAAAAAAGTGGTACTACGATCGGCGAGTTGGATAACAACCCCAGTTTTCTTTAAAGGACCCAAATTCAGAGAATTAAAGATAGAACGAGGCATAACATTTATCGAAGCACCCAAATCTAACATAGCTCGTTCTATTTTTGAATTCTCGATTATACAAGGAATGAAGAACATACCTGGATCACTCCTCTTATGTGGCAAGCTCTTTTGGAACACAACTGGTACGTCCTCGCCCATTATCACCTTCTTGTTCCCCTTCAATCGCCGCTTTCGTGCACAAGTCTTTCAGAAACTTCACATACTTTGGAATTTGCTTTATTGTGTCAATTAGGGGAATATTGACCTCAACCTTTCTGAAAACGTCTAAGATATTCTTCCCGGCGTCGTCTTTTTGTTTTTTATTGATTCATTGATTCTCGACGGAAACGGCAAAGGTTCAGTCAACCGCGGCTCGGCTTCGATGGTCTTTCCCTTCATTTTTGCTCCAGCCGTACTGCTACCAGGGGGGCGATAACAGCAGAATTTTGTGTCTTCTCTCCATCTTCTTTCTCGTCTGCATCTTTCTTCGATAGAATAGGACCCTCGGGAGCTGAGAGCTCCTTACCACTTCTCAATGTGATGGCGCTGACATTCCTCAGATTCGTCTCTGCTTGGGATGGAAGTTTGGAGTACCTGCAACTCCAACTTGTTCACGTGATTTGACAATGAGGACACTTGCCCCTCTAAGTTCTTAAGGCTGGACGCCATGTTCTCTATCAGCTTCTTCATATCCGAAGATGGTTCATTCAGTGAAGGGTTAGTGTTGTGCTGCCTACGGTCTTGCTCCCCAAACTGGTTGCCGCTATTGTTTCCCCACCTCAAATTCGGGTGATCTCGCCACCCCGGATTATAAGTGTTTGAGAATGGGTCATAGTTACGTCCGGTACCATTGTTCGCCCCAACTGCATTGGCATGGGCCACCGTCGTGCTCACTGTCCATGGACAGTCCTCGGTAGTGTGATCCACCGTCTTGCATAGGCCACATGGTCGGACCCTCGATGCTTGCCCACAGCTAACTGGCGAACCACGGAAGTTAACTCCTTGATCTGAGCTTGTAACAAGTCGGTCCCTTCTTCTTGAGCTGGCCTCTGCAAGATACCACGAGTACCAAACTGTTGAGAATTAGCTGCCATGTTGGCAATTAACTCTCGAGCCGCCGTAGGAGTTTTGTCTATAAGTGCACCGTCACTGGCTGCATCTAGCATATTCCTCTCTATGAGTAAGAGGCCCTCATAAAAGTATTGAATCAATAGCTGCTCGGCCATCTGGTGTTGTGGACAACTCGCGACTAGCTTCTTAAACCTTTCCCAGTACTCGTACAATGTTTCCCCTTGCATCTGTCGCACTCCACAAATTTCTTTCCGAAGAGCGGCCACTCGTATCGCCGGAAAGTACCTCTGGAGAAAGGTCCTCTCCAACTCTGCCCATGTAGTGATCGATCCCGAAGGCAAGTAATAAAGCCAGTCCTTTGCAATATCCTTGAGAGAAAATGGAAAAGACCGTAGCTTGACTTGCTCTTCGGTAACCCCGGTGGGTTTCATGCTGGAGCACACCGTGTGAAACTCCTTCAAATGTTTGTGTGGGTCCTCACCAGCGAGACCATGGAATGAGGGCAACAAATGGATCAACCCGGACTTCAACTCGAAGGTGGTATCGTTCATCTCCGGGAAAGTTATGCAGAGTGGTTGTTGCGGTAGTACGGCATTAGCAAGTTGCCTCAATGTACGCTCCTCGTTCGCCATTGTTGTGTTCTTGGTGATGATATTGGTGTGTTCTTGGCTCTGGTCACTCTCACTTTCGTCCTCTAAGTCCTCGCTTTCGATTTCGAACTGGAAACCCTTGTCGAGAATCGCCTCCTTCTCTTGCCGAGCTTTCTTCCTTAGCTCGGTATCCCGTCTCGTGATCTCCGAATAATATTCCAAGTCTTCGGCCCCTGAAGACCTTGTTTTCATTCACCTACAGAAATCAAAAAGAAGTTTAGCTCGAACGTGATAAAATTTGGATATAATTTGATGTAAAAACCTGACGTATTTTCTGTTATCACCGGGGGCGATAACAAAACAGCAGCGAAAATTCACACCAAAAATTCAAGTGAAAAACGAAAATTCACACAAAAAAAATACTAACTAACACAAATAAAAATCACTATTTATATCGTACCACTCTCCGGCAACGGCGCCAGAAACCCACATTGGAGGATTGCCCATTTGGATTTGCATTGAGGGAGCAGCCCCACCCAGACCTGGTACCCAGCCTCCTTCTTTGATCTTGGTACTTCTCCCATCTCTGATCTCCTTCAGGCAGTTGGCTTTGAACATAGGGAGAACCTGAACCCAGTTGTTCCACATCCAGGAGGAGGATTTCTTCTTTTGGACTTCAAATATTGTAGTGTGGGGGAAGTACCTGCTCTTGAGAATTTTTGATACAAGTAGGTCAGGTTGCTTGGTTATTCTCCATAGTTGCTTGAGGATGAGAGCCTCATTAAACAACCTAATATCTTGAAAGCCCAGACCACCTTGTTTTTTTGGTAGTGACAACATATCCCAGCTTCTCCAGTGTATGCCTTTGCTATGGTCCCCTCCTTTGCTCCACCAGAACTGGGCTGTCATTTTAGCAATCTCCTGAAAGATGCCCACTGCAATTTGAAGCAAGACATGGTGAACACAGGCAGTGCATTGATGACTGCTTTGATTAATACTTCTTTGCCTGCAAATGATAGGTATTTATTCTTCCAGTTACTCAGCCTTCCTCTCACTGCTTGAATCACAAACTCAAATGTTTCTCTTTTGGATTGCCCAATTCCAAATGGAAGTCCCAGGTACCTTGATGAGCTGTGGGCAGTAAGGCCATTCAACACTGTACAGATACCATTTTGCTCATTCAGGTTGGTGTTCTTGCTAAAGAATACAGTAGATTTAGGCAAGCTCACTCTCTGACCAGAGAACTATTCATATTTATGAAGAATTTCCATTAACATCCTTGCCTGTCCACTCTCAACTTTACAAAAAATCAAGAGGTCATCTGCAAATAGAAGATGGGTTAATAAAGGTCCACCCCTAGCTAATCTTAGCCCTCTGAAATCACCACACTGAGCAGCTGCAGAGATTAAAGCTGATAGAGCCTCAGAGACAATCAGGAACAAATAAGGTGAGATTGGGTCATCTTGTCTCAACCCCCTGGTAGGTTTCACATATCCTACTGCTTCACCATTTAGCAGGAAAGAGAAAGACACCGTTGAGATACATTACATGACCCACTTCACAAAGATATCAGCAAAACTCATTTTAATCATCAGATCATGCAAGCATTTCCATTCCACTCTGTCATATGCTTTCATCATATCTAGTTTTAATGCCATGAATTTGTGCTTACCAGGTCTATGCCTATTCAGGTAATGGTAGCTCTCTTCGAAATAATGACATTGTCTAGCAACTGTCTTCCTGGAATGAATGCTCCTTGTGTTGGGCTTATGCATGAATTTAAGCACCCTTTAATTCTGCTTGCCAAGATTTTGGATATCAGTTTGTACACCACTGCACACAAGCTTATTGGTCTGTACTGAGTAATTGAGGTAGGGTTCTCACTTTTTGGAATCATGGTCACTAAAGTATGGTTCCAGTATTTCAAGAATCTTCCAGATAAGAAGAAACTTTGGATAGCTGCGCATAGGTCTTTTTTCACCACTGGCCAAGAGTGTTGGTAAAAAAGTGTTGTCATTCCTTCTTCCCCCGGAGCCTTCAGTGGATTCATCTGGAATAAGGATTTTTTTGTTGTATCCTCATCAACCTCTGCAATTAGGTCTTCATTCATTTCTAGAGTGATGGTTGATGGGATTAACTGAAGTATGCTCTGACACTCTTCGCTGACACTACTTCAGATGTAAACAAATTTTGGTAGAACTCAGTTATGTGGTTTCCCAGATCCTTCTTTGTTTCCAGCAATCTATTCCTGTCATCCAGAAGCTTGGTTAGGGCATTCCTTTTCCTTCTTTGGGCAGTCACAGCATGGAAGAACCTGGAGTTCTGATCTCCTTCCTTTAACCATTGGTATCTGAACATTTTTTGCCAGAAGACTTCTTCAGAGCAATGGGCTTCCTCCAGTTCCTTCTTAATGGCCTCCCACTCATCCCAGTTCTTTCCCTCCCCCAAACTTCTCATCTCCTCTAACTTCAGAGTGAGATTCTGAATTTTCCTTTTGTTATCTGTGCCAAGCAGCTTGCTCCATTCACATAATGCTATTCTGGTGACCTTTACTTGCTCTTTCAGTTTAAAGAATGGAGTACCCACCTGGCATTTAGACCAGACACTCTTCACAATATCTCCCACTCCTTGTCTAGTTAACCATTTTTATCAAAGTTGAATCTCCTTTTGCTCTTAAACTCTTCAGCTTGTAGGAGAAGCATCCCATGGTCAGATGCACTTCTATATTGGTTGATAACCTGTGATAGTGGAAATCTCATCATCCACCCCATAGACCCAAAGGCAGTATATAGTTTCTCCTCCACCACTCCTTCTTCTTCCCGGTTATTGCACCAAGTAAACTTGTACCCTATCATGTTGATTTCTGTCATCCCCATATCTGGAATAAAATTCTGGAAAGGCAACAAGCTTTTGGTTGATCTTGGTCTCCCCCCAGCCTTGTTCTCCTTCAGATTCAAATCATTCCAATCTCCAATGATGCACCAGCCTTCCCCCCAATCAGCTTTACACTCAGATGAATATTGCCATTGGTGCTTCCTCTCTGAGAGTTCAGTACTTAAGTAGACAAAGACAATCCAGCAGGGTTCTTCTTCATTAGACTTCTTGTACTAAATTTGAATATAGAAAGGAACCTTATACACTTGCAAAACCACCACCTGTAAATCCCAACATAACAACAGCCCCCTTTAGTCCCCTCAGGTTCCACAAAACAGAATCTAGAATCAACCCCCAGTTTAGAGCAAAAGTTAAGGGTAATTTTTTTTTTTTTTTTTTTTTTTTTTTTTTTTTTTTTTTTTTTTTTTTTGTTTCAGACAAAAATAAAAAAAGTGGATGGTGAGTCTTCCAGGCCTCTCGAATTTGGGGAACTGTAGAGGGTCCACCCAGACCTCTACAGTTCCACACCAGGGCTAACATTGGTCACTCTGGAGCCAATTTGGGCTGGCTTCATCCTCAACCTCTTGATCTTTTACTTTTAGCTTCTTCTTTCTAGTAACAGTACCCTGGTCTTTTTGGTATTCAATCATCATTGAGCTCGGAGAATCTCTGCCTCTTTTATCCCCTATAGCAATGCCTGGCTTGCTAGGGATCTGCTCTTGTCTAGATACTCTTCCTCTTTTAGCAGTGTTCCTCCTCCATAATCGTCTCTGGATAGTTGGAATTTGATCCCATTTCATCTCATTGTTGTTCTTTCCAGTCATTTGTATTTTCATGTTGGGATCTTCCTCTTCTGGTATTAACTCCAAGTTCCACTCTTTGCTTATCTGCAGGGGTTGCACTTCTATGGGAGTGTGCTGGACTTTAGATATCTCCTCTCCTGCAATTGATGATGATGATTCCATTACACAGAGACTTCTTTCTATGTTACCACCAACCTTCTCCTGTGGGCCTGGATTATCCTTCTCTTGTGAGACAAAGATACCAGGGATTGAGCCTCTCTCTCTTTGACCAGAAGATGCAGATGGAGCATTTTTTCTACTTGGAGAAGGATCACTATTGTTGCCGGTCATTGATGTGCCAGAGGAGACCACCCCTTCTGCTGCCTTCATCCACTCTCCATATTGGCCTTCATTGACTTTCTTCTCCACTATATCCTCACGGCGTTTGGAACAATTTTTATCTAGGTGACCCAGCCTTCCACAGTAATAACAGAGACTAACTATCCTTTCGTATTTAAATTGGACAGTCACCACTTGTTCCCCTAACCTTATTGTTGACCATCTCGGCAGGGTTTCATTGATATCCAGCTTAGCTTGTAACCGGATAATTCTCCCTTCTTGATTTCCAGCCTTGGCAATATTCACATTCCTGATGTCCCAAAAGGCTCTACCCAATTTCACTCCTACCTCTGTGCAGAGCCAGTTGATTGGCACTCCATGAGCCTGGACCCAAACAGTTATTCCTCCAAAGCTTGGATGCTGCTCAGTTAATCCCTGTTCCCAATCTTTAAAAATTAGGTATTGATTCTCAAAGATCCAACTCCGCCCTTTATCCACCTTGAGCATAGTTTCCCTAGTCGGGAATAAAAATTGAAAGAAGTTAGAATTGATCTCCCTCACTTCCAATGAATTGCCTAACCTCCATAGCATTCCCATTGTTCGCTTGAGCCCCACCCAATTGGCTTTCTTTTCACCCACTATCTTCCCAAATAAGCTTCGCTGACACTCTTCTGCACTAATCCGAACATCAGTTTCCTCAATGCCGATGATCAATTTCTCCACATCCGTAATTGATACTTTCCCCAATCTGTGCCCTAATTCCTCTGCCATAATACTCCCCCGCAGCTCTAACGCACAATGTACTATAATCTTTGCTTCCAGACTCCTCCTACCTGACCTTCGAACTCGAAGAGGTACCTCCACCGGAGAAGAAACTCTCAGGACGAAAGAAGGAAACTCTCAGGACGAGAGAAGATAAGCTTGATTGTCTTAGGTTTCAATTGGGTTGGAGAAAAGTTTAGTTCTTTCAGGAGAAAGCCGTGCATATTAGAGTTTGACAAATTTCACTTTAATGATTGACATGTTGCACTTTTGTTCCCGTGAGATTAATCTAAAAAGTTCGATTCGAGCTTTTTTTATAAGTTGGTCCGATTATTTGTTTTTACTTTTAAATTTCAATTATATTGGTCCGATCTCGACTTTATATTTTAATTTTTTTGATATATATTATTTATTTTCAACGAAGAATACTATAAAGTATTAAATAAAAATAATAAATACCAATTATATTGTCGTAACAAATAGTTACATTTCGAGTGCACATTATTGTTGAAAAGATTGCACATTAATAATTGTCATATTGCACTATAGCAACTGAACTATATAAACAAATTATATCTATATATTCTAGGTCTTTACAACTAAAAATAATATGAAATATTAAATAAATATATTTTTATAATATAAATTATAAATTGTTTTTTCTATTTAGATTATTTCGCTTAACTGATTAAATAATATAGAACAACATGTTGCTTTAAAATAACTGTCAAACTATATAAAAAATATTATTTTTTTAATTTTATCTATATATATATTATTTATTTTGATAACAACAATATAAACTATTAACTAAAAAAATTACTAATACGAAATATATTGTTTTAGAAAAAAAAAATAATTGCATTTCGAATGCGCATTAGTGTTTCGCGTGTCTTCGTCGAGTTTTTGGATTCCCGGTTATTATCCCTCCGAGACGCATACATGTGGCCTTTACTCGGAGCCGACGGATTATGCTTTCACGTGTCATAGTGCCCGGTTGGCGTATGGCTCGATATGCTTTCATTGTTCAATCGTTCGGATGGCTTTATTTTGCACTCGATGGCTTTCAAATTATTGCTCTTTTCCCACCGGACGAACACCATTAGACACACGGTGGTGCATCACCGTGTAGAGTACGCATTTTCTTTTCCTATTTTTTTTTCCTTAGTTGTTTCTTGTGTGTCTCCGTGTTTGTCTTCTTGTCATATGTTGTTTATCGTGTTTCCTTCTCGTTTTTATCGCATGAACTTCCATGATTAAGTACTATCTCCTATGCTATTTGGTCAAACAATGAGGACATTGCTTTGTTTTAAGTGTGGGGGAGGGGTTTCATGATTATGCATGTTCAGGCGGTGCTTCTTTCGTTTTTGGTGTTTTATTTTTCGTATTTTTCGTGTCTTGGACTAGTTTTGTTTGTGTTTTTATGTGTTTGTGTCGATTCCCCCTTCATGATGCTTGATGTGCGTTTAAGGGCCCAAAATGGTTAAGTGGTGAGATAAGTATGTTGATTGGCGTCATTGTTAACTTTTGTGCTTTATGAACTTGATGATTTGGATGGTACCATTGAGTTGGATGATAGTTTGTTAAATGTGGGACCCACATGTGAATTCACAGAATTGTTTTGTCCCTTGTTGTTCTCGATTGATTGACTTGAGATATGCTTACCTTATGCTCGATTATTGTTATAAACGTGTTATACTATTCATTGTAGTGCATCTCGATCGATTATGTGTTTATATGATTACACTTATGATGTACGTTTGTGTCACACCCTTCGAAAAAAAAATAAAAAATAAAATGTGAGTTCGCGAGAAGGTACGGACTAGGCTACTCTTATCCCGAGCCACCTCGTAGAATGAGATAATGAGCCCGGGAAACCGGTCTAGGGAACTCGAGGAGACACCTCGAGGGTAAACCTAGATAAGAATTGTCTACGAAACCTCGTTTGGAAAAAGAAGCTCATAATAATAAAAAAAAGAAGCTCATAATAAAAAAAAAAAAAGCAAATAAAAAATATAATGAGAGTTGGTTTATTGGTTCGTGCTTATTGTATTTTACATGTGTAGTGGGCCACATTCGGCTTTTTGCACGTGTATGTAGAAAGAGGAAGCTTTGATTGAGAAAATCATGTGTAGGATAACTTGGGATGGGTTTTTGTTTTGTATGGATTCATCTCGTGGGTAACATGTTTTCGAATTTGAGTTCGATTCTTTGGTTTACCAGATGATAAGGAGAGTTTCATATTCGCATGATTGTTAACCTTGGACCATTCGATGTTTCTTTTCGAGCTACTTATTATTTTGTTTGCTTGAGGACAAGCAAAAAGTAAGTGTAGGGGAGTTGTTTATTTTGTTTTTGTGCTTATTTTCGTGTGTTTTATGTGCTTTAGTTTAGTATTTCTAGGTCCGTTTTAGTGTCGACCGGTCCATTTTATCATATTTCGTGTATTCTTGCTCTTGTTTTGTGTTTTTGTGGTTCGACGTACTTTTCTTGTCTTTTTGGTATTGTTTAGGTCCACGTAGAAATCACGCTAGCAATGCTAGAACAACAACACAACAAACACTAAATAGAAAACACTACAAAGCTCCAAAATGGAGACTAACCGATCCCAAAAAAATAATATCCGCTCACATTCGGGCACACAGAGGTCAAAGACCGAAACCAAAAATCACGAATCCTGAAACAAATGACAAACAACAACCAACTAAACAAAACTAACGAAACAAAAAATAAACAACACCAAGACAGACTGCCTTCCCTCAATAAATGCTACAACAAGCAGAACAATGGCAGAGTAACGGCCCAGGAGCCCAAGGTAGCAGAACAATTTCAGTCCATGCCGGCGTCAGTCCCTCATTGTCGTCACGACCTCCACCATTGAACTCAGCGCCGCCGTCGAACAAGCTTTTTCCGACGATTCCTCCGCCTCTGTCTGTCGTCGCCGGACTTCGCCATCGCAGTAGCCATCACGTATAGTTTGCTTCCTTCACCACTCGTCTCTCCCCGAATTGTAAATAACTAGATTGTGCACCAATTGTAAACGCCTAATTTCATATTTCGATAAATCGATTGAGGTTTGTGTTTGATTTCAATCCGTCTGGGACCGATTGATGGTCATCGAATCGTTTCCAGCGATCACTGGCGGACTGTTTGAGTGAATGGTGAATGGTATGGTGATGATGTTGTTGTTTGAGTGAATGGTGAATGGTCACCGAATCGTTATTGCGTATGTTTGAGATTGGGGGCAGGCATTTGAAAATTAGATATCTTATATGGGCTTGTTCGCAAATTAACAAAATTAAGTATATTTTCAATTGAGTTCATGTGTTAAATTGATAATTATTAAAAATTTAAAAGTACAACTAGTGTACAACTAGGTTTTCACTTGTGTTGTCAACTTAGTTGTACACTAGGTTTTTTTTTTCTTTTTTCGGAAACGATAGAGGTACTATATTAATAAAACCGCACAAAGTGCGAAAAGAAAGCAGTCAAAAGCTGAATAGTACAACCAGAGGCTAAAAACTGGGAAGCAGATCCGAAGATCGCCTAGACCCGTCTAGCAACGCTAGAATGAAAAATTCGCAACTACACTAAAACAAACTAAACTAAAACGAGCCCAACAGGTTGTACACTAGGTTGACAATATAGCATTTCCCATATTAATAATCTGATTGCACAATATTAATAAGTTAACCAAATCGATCGAACTTTTGTCGCAACTGAAAATAAAACGTATTGAAATATAATAATAATAATAATAATAATAATAATAATAATAATAATAATAATAATAATATTAATAGTTATATTTTAATATCTTATATTTTGTTTATAGCTGAACAAATATATATATATATATATATATATATATATAAATAATATTTTATATAGTTAAATTAGTCTGGTTAGTAAAAACCCAAAAAACAAAAATGACATTAACTCGAAAGAAATGATTTTTTGATAGCAAAAAAAAGATAATCGAACTGAAATATAAAATTTCAAATTGAAATTTTAAACTGTTCAGTTTTGGTCTCTATATGTGCAATATGATAGTCATTAATGTGCAATTTGTCTAACACTATCGTGCACACATTCATTTTCAATGAATTTAGTTTGGTCAATTTTTGTTGATAAAGTGCAATATGACATTCATTAATATGCAATCCATCTAACACTAATGTGCACTCGAATTGTAGTATTTTTAATAATTTTTACCCAGACCAAACTAAAACTCGAATAATCGGTTAATTTTGATCGGCTATCTGAATAAACCTAAATAACCTAAATAA